GAGTTCTGTACGCCAAGTTTGGTTCAGTTTCATTCTTGGTGCACCTTCAAGTGCTCTTTGACTGAAGAGGAGCCATAAATTCACACAACTGCAACTCCCAAATGTCAGAGTCAAATTTCCCCAAACCCCTCCAGTATTTTCTGTTGGTCATGGGAGTTCTGTATGCCAAGTTTGGTTCAGTTCCATTGTTGGTGGAGCTCTCAATGCTCTTTTATTGCAAGCCACACAACTGCAACTCCCAAATGTCAGGTTCTATTTTCCCCAAACTCCACCAGTGTTCAATGTGGACATATTGAGTATATGTGCCAAGTTTGGTCCAGATCCATAGCCATTTGGGATCGCAGTGCTCTCCAGATGTAGGTGAACTGCATCTCCTGTAAATCACTGTCAGTTTTTCTTAACCCCCTCCAGTATTTTATGTTGGTCATCGGGGTTCTCTGTGACAAGTTTGGTCCAGGTCTGTAATTCGTGGGGGGTCTGTGGAAGTCAGAGCTTAATCGGTTGAAGGTATTGGCAATCCTATTATCAGTTATCCATACTCCCCCAAACACTATGCTTTAATTATGTTCAGTTTTATCTGATATTTACATTACGATTCATAACAGTAGCAGTTATGAAGTAGCAACGAAAATATGGTTGGGGGTCCCCACAACATGAGGAATTTTATTTAGGGGTCACAGCATTAGAAAGAGTGAGAACCACTGACTTAGAGTCACCCTAAGTCTGAAACAACTTTAGGTCACACAGCAACAACAACAACAACCCGAATTAACTTGACTATCTGATCAACCAAAAGCAAGCCCAACATTCCCATTGAGTTTATGTTGGTTAAAATTGTACATCATTTTAAATATTGTATTGTTCTTTCATATATTTTTTTGCAGTACAAATAATATATCTGCAGTGTGCATAGGAATTTGTCCATGTTTTTTGCAAAACATAGTCTGGCCCCACAACAATCTGAAGGACAGTCAACCGGCCCTCTGAAGCCATGCAAAGACAACTGGGCACATTGCAAACTTGCAGAGCTAGACAGATTGATAGGACTCCAAAAGATGGCTAAAAATGGACCTAGAATGGAACAACCATTATTCCATTCCATCTCCCCAAGTTTCCTTCCAAGGCCTGCAACCCAAGCATGTCCTGCTGACCAAATCTCCAAAAAGAGACAGGGAGGGGAAAGAAAAGGATTCCATCTTAATGGCCTCCTCAACAGACCAGGGTTAAAACAATCCTAGTAGGGGGGAAAACAAAAACAAAAGAGTGTCGTGGGGGATTGGATAGAGACTTGGGGGACACACCAAGAGGGCACATCAAAGGCGCATGGGGGGGGGACTTTAATTGTCAATTAAGCATGCATAGCAAGGTGGGGTGGGGCACTGTGCCATGGCAACCACTGGGCTCCATGCTGGTGCATTATTGTCCTGACAGGCAGCGGGAAACACAGAAAACAGCTGATGTGGCCCACAATGTGCTTGCGGGGCATCTTGTAAGCAATCAGGCTCTGGAGGAATGGCGGGCTGCCTACTCCGTCACTAGCCCTGAATGGGGCATTCCTCTCCAAGGGTCAGGCCCTGGTCACTGAGGAGGAGGCATAGAAGGGGCACAACAGGTTTGAGTCCGATTCTGCTGATTCAGTCTTCATTCTTTCAGCGGAACCTCAAACTCCCCCTTGGATGGAGCCGGGAGGCAAAGAGTGACCCCAGAGTTGTTAGGATGTTGGATGGATAATGACTCTGAGGGTATGCTTGACGTTAGGCCAGTGTTTCTTAACCTTCCTAATGCCGCGACCCCTTAATACAGTTCCTCGTGTTGTGGTGACCCCCAACCATAACATTATTTTTGTTATTACTTCATAACTGTAATGTTGCTACTGTTATGGATCATGACGTAAATATCTGATATGCAGGATGTATTGTCATTCACTGGACCAAATTTGGCACAAATACACCAAAATACCTGGAGTCACTTTGGACCATGCTCTGACTTACAAGAAGCACTGCATGATTATCAAGCAAAAAGTGGGTGCTAGGAACAATATCGTACGAAAGCTGACTAGTACAACCTGGGGATCACAGCCAGATACAGTGAAAATATCTGCCCTTGCGCTTTGCTACTCTGTTGCTGAATACGCATGCCCAGTGTGGAATACATCTCATCATGTCAAAACAGTGGGTGTGGCTCTTAATGAGACATGCCACATTATCACAGGATGTCTATGCCCTACACTATGAGAGAAATTATACTGTTTAGCCTGTCTTGCACCACCTGATATCCACCAGGAAGAAGCAGCCAGCAATGAAAGGACCAAGGCATGGACATTTCTGGCCCATCTCCTATTCGAATATCAGCCAGCATGCCAGTGCCTTAAATCAAGAAATAGTTTTCTAGGGTCTACAGAGATATTCACAGGAACACCTCAGCAAGCAAGAGTCCAAAAGTGGCAGGCTAAAACCCGGAACCTCAATCTGTGGCTAATACCAAATGAGAGACTCCCTCCTGGACACACAGAAAACTGGAAAACTTGTAAGGTGCTGAACAGACTGTCCTCTGACACCATGAGATGCAGACCCAACCTTAAGAAATGGAGCCACAAAGTGGAGCCCGCAATATGCAAGTGTGGAGAAGACCAAACCACAGACCACCTGCTACAATGCAGCCTGAGCCCTGCCACGTGCACAGTGGAGGACCTTCTCACACCAACACCAGCGGCACTCCAAGTGGCCAGCTTCTGGTCAAAGGACATTTAGCACAATGCCAGGTTTTAAAAAACTTTGTCTGTGTCTTAAAATGAATTTTAACTGTTCCCTTAACTCGCTTCTGACACAATAAATAAATACCACCGTGGCTCAGTGCTATGGAATCCTGTGAGTTATAGACTGGTGGGGCACTCTTTATCAAACTTTGAACTGACTGCCTATTTAATCTGTTGACGGCTTCCAAACATTTCAGATCAGGGAGCCTTTGTGTTGCACGAATTTGGCCACATAGGAGGAGCTCATTGGGACAGCACCCAATTATTTGAATTGTGGTGCTGGATGAGAGTTCTACAGATACCAGAAGGGACATTGAGAAGATGCACGTTGTTTAAGGAACCAAACCCTCGCAAAGAATGGTGCTGGTGACCCCACACTGACCCCCATGCGACCCGAATGCTTGTCAGGGCCCCGATTTGGGCTGTTTGCCTCTCGAACTCACTGACTTTGGTGTGCAGATTAGAGGTACGAGAACAATGGGGATTGTTTTGCCCAACAATGAATGCGCTTTGCTTCGCGCCACTTGCTCATGCTGTCCCTCCCAAGCCCCAGATTAAACGCCAGCCTTGTCTCTTTCCAATATCTATTTAAATGCAGACAGGGGTTTGCTTTTCTTTTTTTTTGTTTTTTTATGAGAATGGCAAAATAAAGAAAAGTTGCATGTCTGAAGCAGAAAGAGGCAAAGAGCTCTGCCCAAATGGTTTCACTCTCTAGGACAGGAACAACCTTCATGCCATACAGTCAAGATCTTCTTCTGTCCCCAAACAATTGTACAATTGGGTTTTAGATGGATGTATTGTGGGTCAGCATTTGGAGGGCCACATAAAATGACATGGAGGGACATATTAAAACCATGGGGCTTGAGTTTGACACATGTGCTCTACACTATGATCTCATAATTATGGAATATATCTTCTAGGAACACCCCTGGATGCTTGTTTTTGGAAACATTATTATATACTAGCTTGGGTACGAAATGCATAAGATTGTGGGAGAACTATAACTTCCATCATGTCAGGGTAACCTCCTGAAACAGTACTTAAAGTTTGTTATGTTAAGGAAGTTTCCTCTAGATGAATCATCTGTGTGCTCTGGCTATTGAGTAAACTTCAGCTCCCACTATGGTGTGTCAGTCCCCTCAAACCTCTCCAGTAGGTTGAGTTATTCATGGGGGTTCTGTGTGCCAAGTTTGGTCCAAGTCCATCATTGGTGGAGGTCACAGTTTCTCTGGTTGTGGGTGAACTACAACTCTCAGAAAGGAAGGTCCATTCCCACCAAACCCCTCCAGTATAGCTCCCACTACTCAGGAGATACAAAGGGAGGTATATTGGTGTCTCCTGAGAAGTAGGAGCTATAGTTGTTTGTGGAGGTGGGGGCTTGTTTGTGTACGTGGACATCCCAACTACACAAACATACATATTTTCACTTTTATTATCAGTGGTTCTCAACCTGTGGGTCCTCAGGTGTTTTGGCCTTCAACTTCCAAAGATCCTAACAGCTGGTAAACTTGCTTGGATTTCTGGGAGCTGTAGGCCAAAACACCTGGAGACCCACAGGTTGAGAGCCACTGGTATATATTGTTACTGTTATTATTATGATTATTTGACCTGCTGGTTCCAAAAATGGCACTAGTTTTCCTTTATCAGATATTAGAAGCTCATTTATGCTTCATAGAATCATAGAGTTGGAAGAGACCTCATGGGCCATCCAGTCCAACCCCCTGCCAAGAAGCAGGAATATTGCATTCAAAGCACCCCTGACAGATGGCCAAATACAAACACAGGCTGAACATAATGTTATACAATAATTTGAACAATATTGAAATAATTTTGGTGGACACTAAACCATCAGAAAAGCAAAAATGTCCTCCTAGGCACATTACAGAAGAAATACATTACAGAAGAAATTGTTACAATTAAGTTTGAAATGAAACCTGAACTCGATCTGCTTGGTATGTTAGACAATCAACTCGATAGAAAATAGGAAATGTTACTGCTATACATGACAACGGCAGCAAGAAAGATCTATGCTTAAAAATGGAAAGATTCCGACACAAGACAATTAGCTCACAAATATAAGCAAACTTGCGGAAATTGATAGACTCACTATTGTGAATCAAGAATGGCATTGAAAGCATTTGGGAGTGTCCTTTCATAAGAATGGCATGGAAAGCAAATGCTCACAACACACATATACACACAGCTGTCTTTCATTAGGAAACAATTGATCCCGGCCTTGGCTTACCTGTCATCTTGTTTGGCGGGGAAGCGCTGGCCTGCACATGGTGTGGGGAATTGTGGGAGAGCAAAAGGTTCATAGTGTGGGGCTGGCCTGTGCTGTAGGCGTCCATGGCCAGCTTTTGGCGGAAGGCCTCCTCTTTCCTCCGGTTGGCAAACCAGTTGTAGACACGGACCTCCGTGACCAGATTTGAACCCAGACCATGTGCTTTGGAAGGCGAGACGCCCCGCTGGAGGCATTCTGCCCTAAGAGAGGAAAAGGAGAGGGAGACATCACCTATGCCATTGCCTAGATCTGGGAATGAAAAAGGCAGAAGGGAATGCAACCTAATTTCTTGTGGGGTTGTTATTGTTGTTGTTATTATTATGTTCTTATTAGATTAAATTGTGTATTATATTATAGATTTTCATTGCTATATTAGATATTATTGTATTATAACTATCATATTAGATGATATACAGTATTGTTATATTATTCTATTATATACTAGCTTGGGTACCATAAGGTTGTGGGTGTACTACAACTCACATCATGCCAGGTTAACCCCCTGAAACTCCATCAAGTTTGTCATGTTGGGAAAGTTTGCTCTAGATGCATCACTGGTGTGCTCTCTGGCTGCGGGATGAATTACAACTCCCACAATGGTGGGTCAGTCCCATCAAATCCCTCCAGCACTTTCAGTTGGTCATGAGGCTATGTGTGCCAAGTTACGTCCAGGTCCATTATCGGTGGAGTTCAGAGTGCTCATTGAGTGCAGGTAAACTGATCCAAGCACCTACAACGCCAAAATGACCAGGCCAATTCCAGTGAAAACTCAACAGTATTCAAATTTGGCCATATCAGCTTCATAGTGCACTCTGGATATAAGTGAACTACCACTCCTACAAATCCCTCCAAAGACCTCCAGTATGTTTTGTTGGTCATGGGGATTCTGTGTGACAAGTTAGTTCTAGGACCATCATTGGTTGAGTTCATAGTGCACTTAGATTGCAGGTGAATTATACATCACAGGACCTAAAACTAATATAAATCATGGTGAATTTTCCCCAAACCACTCTAGTATGTTCAGTTGCTGGTTAATTCCTGTTTGCTGTGTGCCATAGAAATGAATAGGAAAGGGTTGAGGGAGAGACAGTGGGTGGGATCATGCAAATTCCACACCAATGTCTTTGGTGGAGGAAACACAGAAAAATCTAGAAGGAAATTGTCCCCGAATGAAAGCCTTCACTTGTGTGGCGGGCAGTATGGTGTTGGTGGAGGACATTGACAGGGCTCTTGTACATGTTCATAGCACTCACTATAACCTGCAATGTCATAGGAGGGAGGGCCTTTGGTGTCTCCTACGTAGTGTAAGAGATATAAATGTTTGTGGAGGCAGGAGCTTGTGTCTGTAAGTGGGCACCCCAGTCACACACACACATACATATTTTCACTTTTATTATGTGTATACATAGATAGATTATAATTTTATATTCTTATTATATTATATTATATTATATTATATTATATTATTTATTATATTTATTTATAAATAAATAATTATTAAATAATAATTATTTTGGACATTTGTATCCTGTCCTATCTCGACCTCCGCAGAGGGACTCAGGGTGGCTAACAAAACAACACCCCATGATGCCCACAACCAAAACCATAAATATGCAATTTAAATAACAATATAACAACAAAACAGTATAAAACAGTATAAAACATTCAACAGTCAACAGTATAATGGCTATATTTTTATAACTGTTATATTTTATATAGTCTTATGATAGTATTATAATACACTTTATTTTGTGTGTGTGTGTGTGTATATATATATAAAAAATTCTGTTTTCATTTTTACATGTTCGTATATGTAAAATTATGTGGTCATACTTTTAATGTAAGCTGTTTTGAGTCTTCTCTGGGAAAGATAAAGCAGGGTATAAATACACCTTAATAATAATAATAATAATAATAATAATAATAATAATAATAATAATAATAATTGTTACCCTCACCCAAAGGACCTTTCCATCAGCCACCCCAAAACTGTGGAACAACCTACCAGAATACAAATAATAACCATAACCATAACAATAGCAACAACAACACAGTCTTCATCTACCTATCTATAGAAAGCTGATGCAATCTATTATTATTATTATTATTATTATTATTATTATTATTATTATTATTAGTTGCAGTAGTAGTAGTAGTAGTATTACCCCAGCTCTTTTCTCAAATGAGACTCAAAGCACTATGGAAAAGATAGCTAAGGACATTAGAAAGTGTTGGAGTGATATAATGCTAATAAATAACTGTATCAGGGACAGATCTGAAACACTCTTATAGCTACAAAGTCAACACAAATAACAATACATTTTGATTGGCAAGCTTCCTATCTCTCTGCTTTGTTCACTGCTAGCTTGCTTTGGCTACGTTTTCTATCAACAGTGTGATGGTTTTCTTTGTTTTGTGATTTGCTGGTGAGTTCAATTTGTAAGGAAAAGTGGGAAACAAACTTGCAAAACCTTGAATCCAAATGGTGAGACGCCTGAGCTTTGACAGCTTTCACAGGTTCCACAGGAAATCCACTAGATTTCCTTCACTAATGATATAATTAATTGGACAACCAGCTAATCTGTAAACATAATTTATTCATATCCCTAAATATCAGCCTGGCAATCACCTAAACGGTTCTGGCCCTGCTTACCTCTCCGAACGCATCTCCACCTATGAACCGACCAGAACATTAAGATCGTCTGGGGAGGCCCTGCTCTCGATCCCGCCTGCGTCACAGGCGCGCTTGGCGGGGACGAGAGACAGGGCCTTCTCAGTGGTGGCCCCTCGGCTATGGAATGCCCTACCGGCAGACATCAGACAGGCACCTTCGCTGCTGACGTTTCGGAGAATGGTTAAGACCTGGCTTTATGAACAAGCGTTTGGTTAAGCAGTGCAACCAATCATAGGAAGACGGTAAATGGAACATAGGAATGGCACAAGGATTATGAGAACGGATCTGATTTCAACTGAGGCGTTATGTTATGTCTGTTTTGTTCTGTCTTGTTGATTGTTAATTGTTGTGGATTGATGCTGTTGATCCTGTTTGTTGCATTGTTATGTTTTAATTGCACTGACACTGTTTGATAAATTGTACCATGTAAACCGCATTGAGTCGCCTGTTAAGGGCTGAAAAATGCGGTATAGAAATAAAGCAAATAAATAAATAAATAAATAATATATGGGGAGGGGGCAGGCGGAATAGACAGAGTTGGCTCTCCACATCCACAAAGATAAATAGATAGGTAGGTAGGCAGGTAGAGAGTTGGCCCTCCACACTCACATAGATAGATAAATAGACAGTCAGACATTTGGCAATAAAGGAAGACATCATCAAAGCCTTCACAACAGATGGCCAACCAGTTGGAAGGGAGCCCTAAAGGCCATCCAGTCTAACAATACTTTATATATTACTATTACATATATTGCTATATAACACACACACATATATATTATATTATATTAATTATTGTTATATATATATATTACTATATAATATAATGCTACAACTATATATTACTATATTAAATAGACTCATAGAATAGAGTTAGAAGGGACTCTACCATGGTATTGGGGGAGAACAGACAGAAAGGAAGGAGGGAAAGGAAAGAAAAAGAGAAGGAAAGGGAGGAAAGAGGTAAAGAAGGAAGGAAGGAGAAAAGGAAATAAAAAGTAAAAGAAGGAAGGAAACAGGGAGGAAAGAAAGGAGACAAAAGAAGAAGTAGAAAAAGGGGGAGGGAAGGAAGGAAAGAGAGAAGGAAGGCTGAAACCAAAGAGTGAAAGACGGAATGAAAGAAAGAGGTAGAGAAGGAAGAAAGGAGAGAAAGGGGAACAGGAAGGGAAAGAAAAAGTGGGGAAGGAATAGGTAGATACCTCTCTTTCACAATAGTCCAGATATCTGCCTCTACTTTGAAAAGTCTTACTATAGGCCACAGCAATGCGTGGCAGGGCACAGCTAGTAATGATATATATTATTAAAATCAAATGTTAATAAATGACTGAAGATCTAAAATTTCTGTTCTGAACTGGCACCGGATGTCACTGGTCAATGTTGTAAACGCACTCTCTGCAGTAGGCTGAGTCCCAAATCCTACAACCACGCTGCCTCCCCTCTGCTGTTGACTTATGCTAAGTACTGAGAAGAGTAGGTTCTTTTCCCTTTGACACGGAACATGCCAAACATGTCACACAATGGAGGTGTGCTTTACAACAACAAAAGCCCTGCCGTTGGCCAAGAAGCTGCCGTTTAAGGGCAAGGCACCTGCCTATGTATTTATTGATGTATCTGTTTCTTCCTACCTGTTGCACTCCTCAACCAGGGCCTCCCTCTCCTCCTTGCTGGGGTTCTTCTGCCGGTCGTAGGCCTGGTACAAGATCTGCTGGGAGGCCGGGCCCCACTTGAAGCGATTGCGCCGCATCTTCTTGCTGGGCGTTTCGGCGCAGGGGTCGTCCAAGTGGCCCCCGCCTTGGCTTTGCTGGTTAAACTCTGGAAAGAGAAACAGCAGCTGATCTTGACTGCTTTTGTCTGTCATAGTTCCAGAACCCTGGACTGTCTGGTTGAACTCTGAAAGAGAAAGGAGCAGATGTGATCGGGCTTAGAGCCCCCGCCACTCAGAGAGAAAGAGACACTCTTTGCATGCATTGAGTCATTGGCTTCCTTGCAGATGGCCAGAGACATTTGGGGTCTTTCAGGTTGCAGCCAAGGTTCTATACCAGGGATCCTCAAACTTTTTAAACAGAGGACCAGGTCACAGTCCCTCAAACTTTTGGGGGGCCAGATTATAAATTGAAAAAAACATGAATTAATTCCTATGCAAACTGCACATATCTTATTTGTAGTGCAAAAAACACTTTAAAAGAATATAATAATTAAAATGAAGAACAATTTTAACAAATATAAGCTTATTGTAATCTTATATTGCTATGTTTTCATTGTTATTATTGTTCATTATTTGCGTTTTCGGTTTTATTTTATGTAAATTTTGTCTGGGCTTGGCCTCATGTAAGCCGCACCGAGTCCCCATAGGGGAGATGGTGGCGGGATACAAATAAAGTTTATTATTATTATTATTATTATTATTATTATTAGCTTATTAGTATTTCAATGGGAAGTGTGGGCCTGCTTTTGACTGATGAGATAGGATTGTTGTTGTTGTTGTGGTGAGCTTTCAAGTCGTTTCAGGCTTAGGTTGACCCTGAGCGAGGGCCGGGTAAATGACCTTGAAGGGCTGCATCCGGCCCCCGGGCCTTAGTTTGAGGACCCCTGTTCTATACACTATAGTTATTATTATTTGAAACACAACAAGATGAGTCCACAGTAGACAAGATCACTCTGCCGGCTGTTGTACTGAATCACAGTCGGACACTTTCCAATTGTCTAGGATTGTGTGATGTATCAGAGAATGATGTGTGCAAATCCCAGTAAGGTGGGATTTGCTGGCAGCTGGCAGGTGATAATTTTGTCAGTGCCGATTGTGTTTAAGTGCCAGCCAAAGTCTTTAGGCACTGCACCCAGTGTGCCAATCACCACTGGGACTACCTTGTTGTTGTTGTTGTTATTGTGATATATATATATATATATATATATATATATATATATATATATATGACATTAAGTCCAGTCGTGTCTGACTCTGGGGTGTGGCGCTTATCTCCATTTCTAAGCCGAAGAGCTGGCGCTATCCGTAGACACCTCCAACGTCATGTGGCCAGCATGACTGCATGGAGTACTGTTACTTTCCTGCAGAAGTGGTACCGATTGATCTACTCACATTTGGTTTTGAACTGTGAGGTTGGCAGAAGCTGGGCCTAGCAGCAGGAGCTCGCCCCGCTCCTCAGATACGAACTGCCAACCTTTCGGTCAGCAAGTTCAGCAGCTCAGCAGTTTAACCCACTGCACCACTAGGGGGCCTCATGCTGTGTTTATTTATTATTATTACTTGCACTTATTTACCGCCACTCTCAGCCCAGGGCCTTAGCCCAGGGCCTGTTGTTATGTACATGTAAATAATAATAATAATAATAATAAATTCATAGTAATAATAAACAGCATAGTGATCTTGTTTTCTGTGTGCTAATCTTATTGTGTTTCAAACAACAACAACAATTTTCAATTAATAATAATAATAATAATCTGATTCTTGCATCCACAACTAGCCAACCCTAACCCTAACCCCAAGAAGCAACCCCTTAGGATCAAATCTCAACTTAACACAGAGTATCCCTCCTTTATCTAAGCCCCATACTATCGAAGAACACCACGTTTTGATGACCATGTTTCAGAACAGCATGGCATATGATGTACTCATTGGAGTACTCTGGGCCTAAAAATGCTTCAATGACATTCAAGGGGTCACCATAAACCAACAGCTGGCTTAAAGGAACATACCGTACCATCCCTGGAGTCTGTCCAGTTAATAATGCAGTTCTTTGGAGTTCGTAATTTGCAAACTTTGCAACGGAAGTTTGCAAACACTTCTAAGGCGACAGCGAGTGCAATGCAGTCGTCTAATGGGACATAACTATGCCATGTTGGGACAAATCTAGAACCTCAAGGAGAAGGCACCCAATATGGAGGCTTTTATGTGTCCTAATTCTGGGCTTCCCATTCATCTCAAACAGGAGATAACAATCCTAAGCAACACCTATGGATATCTGTTAGCTTTGCTACAACCCCAGAGGGGGGAAAAGGAAAGAAACAGTCAACAATATTATCTCTGGATATGCGAGATGGCAGCCCACTAATTGGATCACCCCATCTGAATGGCATTGTTCCTTCAAGGACACAATGGGCTCTTTAATTTCTCTCAGACAAAAGGAGAAGATATCTCCTTTGCAGCAACCAGCAGGATCCCTTTTCCCAAAAGAAGGACCAAGATGACAAATGGGAGACCAGAAGATTTCGTTCCCTGGTTAGCAAGCTATGAGCTGTAGGTACATAGAAGGGACTGACATATCTTTGGCGAAGACCTTGGAGAGCTACAACCAGTCAGATCAATCCATACATATGTGTGTATGTGTGTAATAAATGCCCACCCTGGACATTATTCCACATATATATAAACCTCACTTGCCGAGTTTCCAACAGACCCCTCAACCTCTAAGGATGCCTGCCATAAATGTGTGTTTTTTTTTGTCGTGTCAGGAACGACTTGAGAAACTGCAAGTTGCTTCTGGTGTGAGAGAATTGGCCATCTGCGAGGACGTTGCCCAGGGGACGACCCGATGAATTGATGTTTTTATCATCCTTGTGGGAGGCTTCTCTCATGTCCCCGTATGAGGAGCTGGAGCTGATAGAGGGAGCTCATCTGCCTCTCCCCGGATTCGAACAGGGGTTTAACCCACTGCGCCACCAGTGGCCCCTCATAAATGTGGGTAAACGTCAGGAGTGAATGGAGCCCCCGGTGGCACCGTGGGTTAAACCCCTATGCCGGCAGGACTAAAGACCGACAGGTCGCAGGTTCGAATCTGGGCAGCACAGATGAGCTCCCGCTGTCAGCTCCAGCTCCTCATGCGGGGACATGACAGAAGCCTCCCACGAGGATGGTAAAATATCAAAACATCCAGGCATCCCCTGGGCAACATCATAGAATCATAGACTCATAGAATCAAAGAGTTGGAAGAGACCTCATGGGCCATCCAGTCCAACCCAATTCTGCCAAGAAGCAGGAATATAGCATTCAAATCACCCTGACAGATAGCCATCCAGCCTCTGTTTAAAAGCTTCCAAAGAAGGAGCCTCCACCACACTCCAGAGAGTTCCACTGCTGAACGGCTCTCACAGTCAGGAAGTTCTTCCTCATGTTTAGGAAGTTTCTTGTAGTTGAAGCTATTGTTCCACGTCCTAGTTTCCAGGGAAGCAGAAAACAAGCTTGCTCCCTCCTCCCTGGGACTTCCTCTCAGATATTTATACATGGCTATCATATCTCCTCTCAGCCTTCTCTTCTTCAGGCTAAACATGTCCAGCTCCTTAAGCCGCTCCTCATAGGGCTTGTTTTCCAGACTCTTGATGAAAAGACCACCTGTACATTACATTGTTTTAGCTTTGTTCCGAGAGCTCGAAAATCATTTATGATCATTTGAAAAGCATGCCTAGCAGTTCGGCCAATGCAGACGGCCAATTCTCTCCAACCAGAAGCAACTTGCAGTTTCTGACACGACATAAATGTGGGTGAAACATCAGGAGAGAATGCCTCCGGAACTTGGCCATATAGCCTGGAAAACTCACGGCAACCCAAATACAATTCTATTTGCCAATGTTTACATGCTGTCTTGAATTCATTAGAAAAAAGATGGTGCTAATACATGCATTCAAATCTGCACCCCATCACAATCCTTGTTTGCCATAGGAGACTTTAAAACACATCCAATTGGGCTATCCATAAATATATTAATTGCCTGGACTGGAACATATGGAATTGTGTGGCAACAGGGAAGCTAATGGATTGCAAAGTAGTTTTTGTGCTTTTGACCCACAATGCAATGTAAAACTTTCGCTATGGTGAGAGATTGTTAGGCCTATAGATCAACACAACAACAACAACAACATTGAAAACTGCCTATATATACAGCTGCCTTGAGTCTCCTTCAGGCTTGAGAAAGGGTATAAATAGAGTAAATAAATAATAAACAAACAACAACAATAGTACTTACGCCGAAGGATCTCCCTCTGCTTCCGGACGTACCAAGTGTAAAGTGCCGCCCGCTTCTGGGTTTTCATGGGGGTCCCCTTGTTGAGATGCTGGGAGAGATGGGACTGGTTCAATCCAGTGACATCCACCACCTCCCTTTGAGGGATGTTGTGTTGTTGCATGTAGCCCTTGATCATTTTGGCTGCCCGCCAAGGGTCCTCGCTAAAAGGAAATTGGGGGGGGGGGGAACAACCATTAGGAGTTTGTTCAAAATCAAGGAGAAGGTCTCTAATGTTGGTGTCGAGGCTTGAAAAAGGAATGGGGTTAGGAAACTGAAGTATGGATTTGAACATGGGTATTAACCCCATGGCTGTACTGCATTGGAAGCCATGGGTCGAAACACAAACATAATCACACTCAGTTTGACAGTTAAAGATGGAGGAAGCAGCTCAGGCACAAGCAAACTGCTGCGGCATCTCTTCGCTTATGGGCCCTTCCACTTTAAAATAATATGACTCAGAACCATGGATTCAAATGGCAGGAAAGGAGATTCCACCTGAACTTTAGGAAGAACTTCCTGACTATGAGAGTTGTTCAACAGTGGAACTCTCTGCTTCAGTGTCTGGTTGAGGCTTTTCAACAGAGGGCATTAGTTGGGGGTGCTTTGATTGTGCTTTTTCTGCACATAAAGGGGTTGGACTAGATGGCTTTTAGGGGTCCCTTCCAACTCTATGATTCTGTAACTGTTGCCCTGTTGGCTGCTCTCTGGTGTCCTTTGGCCTCACGTTTTCATCCAGGAACAGTTGAAGGACATAAGAATATGATAGTGTTTTGGTTGCAACAGTTGAACACATACAAGTGTTTGACCTCTCTAGTCACAAGAGGAGAGCAGTGATCTAAGAAAATAATTAATAAAATCATATCGATTATATTATATTATTATCTATTATTATCGGGATGGCAGTCGTATGTAGGTGTGCCTGCACCTCCATATGTACCACGTTATTGCCGAACAGCCCAATTTTTGGACTTGTACGGCCGGGTGGCAAACCACTAATAGGGTCCATCTTTATCTCCAAGGCTCCTCCTCTATCACCAATACCTATCATTTTTCCTTACTCTTCTTTTCATACCTTATCCTTACCTAAGCATCTCTGTATGGTTCTCCCTACCTCACGAGCTCACATCGACATTCCCTTTCATATACAACGTATGTCCCATATTATCTCCCTTCCTTACGTTACTCTTAAACCTACATTACCTCTACACTTCCTTACATTACACTATAACTTTCCTTCCTTCCTTCAACTTTCAGTCAGTCATTCCGTACTCACTACTTGACCTCCCTCCCTCTCCCTTTTCTCTACTCCCTCCCCATATCTCGTGGTCAACTAGATATGATCTGCAGTTGGCATTCATAGTCCTTCTCTTCTTTCCTAACCTACTTCCCTTCCGCTACCCTGACAACTATACCTCCCTTCAACTTCCGTTAGACCTCTCCCTTAGTCCTTACTTCCATTCCTTCCATACCATACCCCTTTGTGTCCTTCCTTCTCTATTGTCCCCTCCTTCCTTCCCGTCTATTGCCCGCACCTGAGCGGCACTGAGAAAAGCAGTAAGTAGTATAAAATAAATAAAATAAATAAATTCTCTCCTTACTCTTCCACCATTCCTTTTAATTCCTGGTTTCACTTTTTTTTTCTCTTTCTTTTCCCTCATTTCGCTCAATACCATGACCTCTTTCATGACTACCTGCGTGTTATGCCTTTTGTCTCCTTCCAGTTTCTCATAACTTCTAGATAACCTTCCTTTCTCTTCCTTGCATCCTTATCTTCCTTCCATTCACCTGTATATGTATCCTTCAGACCTTCCCTACCCCCCATGTTATCCTCCTTCATTCTTCCCTCCCTTTTGTCTTTCCTTCCTTCTCTCTTTCCTCCTTCCTTCCCTTTCTCCCTTTCTCCATTCATCCTTCCCCTCCTCCCTTTCTTCCATCCTTCCCTCTTTCCTTCCTCCTTCACTTCCTTCTTTTGCATCCATCCATCCAATCCTTTTCTTCCACCCTTTCATCCTTCCCTTCTTTTGTCTTTCCTTCCTTCTCTCTTTCCTTCATACTTCCCTCCCTTCCCTCCCTCTTTCTCTTTCCATCTTTCCCTTCCACTGTCTCATCCTTCCTTCCCTCTTTCCTCCCTCTCTGCCTCTTTCTGCTTCCTTCCCTTTTGTCTTTCCTTCTCTCTTTCCTTTATCCTTCCCTTCCCTTTTTTCTTTCCTCCTTCCCTCTTTTCTTCCTTTCCTCTCCTCTTTCTCCTTTCTCTTCCCTTCTCCCTTTCTCTTCCTTTTCCTTTTTCCTTCCTTCCTTCTCACTCCTTCCTTCCTTCCATCCATCCTCATCCTTCCTTCTTCACCTTTTTCCCTTCCTTCCTTTCCTTCCTTCCTCCTTCCTTTTCTTCCTTCCTTCTCTCTTTCCTTCCTATTCCTCCCTTCCTTCCTCTCTTTCCCTTTCTCCTTCCCTTCCAGTTTCGTTCCTCCTTCCTTTCCTCTTTTCTCCCTCTCTGCGTCTTTCTGCTTCCTCCCTCCCTTCCTTCCCTTTTGTCTTTCTTTCCTTCTCTCTTTCCTTTATCCTTCCCTTCATTCCTTCCTTCCTTCTCTTTTTCCTTCTTTCCTTTTTGTCTTTCCTTCCCTCTTTCCTCCCCCCTTCCCACTCCCCCTCTTTTTCCTTTCATCCTTCCTTCCCTTCCCCCCTTTCGTCCTTCCTTCTCTCTTTCCTTCCTCCTTCCCTTTCTTCCTTCCATCATGGGGTAGCCACACTTCCTAGCAGGGAGTGCTAGTATGTGGCCCCCAAGTTAGAAAGTTTGCCCATGTCTGCTTTAGAACGATAGCCATGGCTCTATGATATGAGATTCTTGTCATCCTGGGAGATGTTTGTCCTTCTCTATTGGAGCCACAACAAAGCCATGGCTTCTGTAGGTTGGAGCCAAAAAGTGGCATGGGACTGCTGCAAGTCTGCCATGTGGATGGTTGCACAAACTGGACAGTGTTTTGCTCAGATGACTTGGATGGAGGAGGAAAATGGGGGAGACAAGTTGGGAGCACCTCCAGCAATTTTAAAGGAGCCAGTTTGGTAATCAAACACAGGCCATTTGAGCCTGCGGCCTTCCTTGTGTACCCAGTGTTCCCCTGGATCAAAGTCAGGCTGAGTCACGCAAGCGCACAGCCGGCACATGGGGACGGTCACGGAAACCAGCCCCACAGGCCACTCCCGAGTGGAAATTGCCCAAACACAGAGAGTTTCGGAGCGCTTTCATCATCAATTCCAGCCATCGTAGCAAAACAAGCACGAGTACATATGACTCGACAACATCTTCCTTAGAAATATGCCAACAATTCCTTTCTCCGACTTTATGACGTTTACACCGAGCTTATCGGAACCTTTCTGTACATCAAAACAACTCCAAGAAGGCCTGGATATGATTCCAGAAATCTCCATTTCCCTTCCACTCTGAAGCCTTGGCCTAGAGGTGCATCTACACTATGGAATGAATGCAGTTTCCTACCACTTGCTCAATGCCATGGGATGCTAGGAGTTGTTGTTTGGTGACGCACCAGCACTCTTGCAAGGCCTCCTCCAGCAAAGACTGGCAGTTCAAATTGTGTCCAAACTCCATTCATCCTATTGCGCCCCTGATAAAATCCAGACGTAATAAAACACTACGAATGGATAAAAGTCTCCTTTCGAAGCACCAGGAAGGTTTTACTATCTCTCCATATAAAATCAGGTTATACAAGGAAGCGGCTCAAAGTCCAAGAAAACAGGTGGGATGACACTGCTCGTTCTCTCTCTCTCTCTGGAACTAATCCATGAGCTTCAACCAAGATACATGGCATGAGAGGAAGGAGGAATGGATTACTTTGTTTAATTCACAAGATGGTTCAAAACATCTATCCTGCCTCCACAAACTGCTATCGCCCACAGTGCTGAGGAGCCACCAAAAGTACTTCCTCTGCTCCAAGGACATTGAAGGTTATAGCAGGCACCATGAACATGTCTCCCAACCCCTGCCAATGTCCTCCCCAAACACCATACTACCCACCACCTACATGTTTGGTTTTTCCTCTAGAATGGATATCCCAAGGTTCCTTGCTCTTTCGATCACTGTGGAATTTGCATGACCCCGCCCACTGCCTCTCCCTTAACCCTTTCCTATGGCACACAGCAAACAGGAAATTATCAGCAACTGAACAAGAGATTTGGGGGGAATTGACCTTGATTTATAGGTGTTGTAATTCATCTACATCCAGAGAGCACTGTGAACCCAACCAACGATGGATCTAGACCACACTTGCCATGGGTGATGGGATTTGTAGTACCTTCACTCACTTCCTGGGACCTTCAAATAACCTGGGCATTGTCGGGAACCCAAGCTAGTTGTTTATAAAAGTTAAGCATATAAGTAAGGCGCATAGAATCACAGAGTTAGAAGGACCTTCTAGAAAACATATTTCTAATCGCCTTAGGGACCTCTTGGACAGAGAAGGCTGAAGATCTCTCCGCCTGACCTTCTCTCCCTTTTTAGAAACATACAAGAAATCCTCCCACCAAAAGTCCTCATCCGCTGTGATTGGCCGGCCTCTCAGCAAGTGGAGGGCTGTTTCTGAGCCTCCAAGCAGAGAGGGGAGAGCAGGTGTGCTCGGTGCATGGCAGTGTGGTGTGCATGTGCAGGTGAGGGAGAGCATGCAAGGCTGGATGAAGGCTCGCACCAGCGAGTCCCTTCAAGGCATGAGGGTTCTGTGTGCCAAGTTTGGCCCAATTCTATAGTTCTTGGGGTTCAGAATGCTCTTTGATTGTAGGTGAACTATAAATCCCAGCAACTACAACTTCCAAATATTAAGGTCTATTTTCCCCAAACTCCACCAGTGTTCACATTTTGGGCACATTGGGTATTCTTGCCAAGTTTGGTCCAGATCTATCATTGTTTGAGTCCACAGTGCTCTCTTGATGTAGGTGAACGACAACTCCCAAACTCAAGGTCAATGCCCACCAAACCCTTCCCATATTTTCTCCTGGTCATGGGAGTTCTGTGTGCCATGATTGATTCAATTCCATCTTTGGTGGGGTTCAGAATGTTCTTTGATAGCAGGTGAACTATAAATTCCAGCAACTACAACTCCCAAATCACAAAATCAAGTAACCCCAGCAGTATTTAAATTTGGATATATCGCGT